TCTAACTGGTCCTGCTATCTGTTGGTTTCCATACCCTTACAAGAGTACTTTAGGATGGAATACCAGACAATTATTTTTGTGTTTTTGATAGAATGGAAAAGTAGTAGTTAGACTGCTCACTGATGGAGGAAATCCCCTCAAAAGAGCACAAAAAACACGTGTAAGCTGTATAGGGTGCTGCCATATCCATGACTATCCTCAGAGTGTATAGAAGATGATTCCTATGCCCTTACTGCTTCTTAGTTATATAGAAGCTTCAGACATGCAAAGGTGTATCTGGAGCCTAGGGCTGCAGAGGACTGAATTGCTGACATCACATATCACGTGACCAGCATACCAGGATGACCGCGCTGTTTATCAGTTTAGTATGTTCTCGGTGGTGAATTAATAATCAGCACAAGGAATAGTGGGGTAAGGGTACAGTTCCTATGCAATTCACTTACTGTATGCTTGAATGTTGCTTTTTTCTATAAAAGTTTCATTTTGACGTAAAAATGAATCTAAAAAATTAAATAAAAAAAATGATGTGGGCAAAATTTTAAAAGAGAATTCTTTCTCTGAGGGTTACTATTATAGCCATTATAGAGATACTATATGTGTTACCCTCATTAGTCCCCAGTGAGCTTATACCCCATCAACCAGGCACTGACATGGGAGAAGGGGAAAGGACACAGCAGTCTGTGGAGAAAAGTCATACATATGAAACAAGGCCCTGAGCTCTGTGCAGTGCATTCTATTTATTTAAAGAGGACTGGTACCATGGAAGCTGTTCCCAAAAAACGGCAGGCAGAGGGCAAATAACTGGTCAATAGTTTTGCATGTAGGTTCCCTGAAGTAGATCTTTTCCATATTACTGGTTCACTATGCTTTGTTCCAGACAATGTCTCTGTTTTGAGGTGGTTATTTTGGTAGAGGAGCAGGGCTTTGCTTTCTCGTGTCAGAGATGCCCATCTGATGATTAGTGATCTAATGGGGTAATATTTAAGAAGCAGCAGAAAAGGCGAAGGAAACACATATGTATAAGAACATATAAAGCAGAAGCAGGGAGATGCTTGCACTTCAGCTCTCCAGATACAGCTTCCTCTTTAGAAAGGAGAACAGTGAGCAGTACTGTAGTGGGATCATAAAATACAGAAGTGCCTAGGCCAAGTCACACAGAAGTGCCTAGGCACAGCAACATGCCAGGACCATGCACTGTTATCTTTCAGGAGGACTTCAAGGCAAGAGGTACATTTTGGGCACAATTAACATTTCTATGTTAATTTTATTTTCTATGTTGCTTGTAAGTTATAAAATCGTTTTTTTTTTTTTTATTTGGGTCAACTTTAAGTGTTAACACCACACTCACCTAAGGCAAATATGACTTACTTATGACCTATCTGTATCAAATTTTTCCTCAAAGATATTTGAGCTAAATAATCCAAAATGAATTATTAGATAAGAAGGTTAAAGGACTTTTATGTAACAGTGATAACTCTGTATGTTGGTTTAAGTATAGTATTTCATCAGACCTAAAAATCAAAGATCCCCTTAGGCTCAGGTGCAATAAAGGTAGTTCTGTTTTTTGGGCATGTACAACAAATGGACATTTCTCACTGCTGGGTGAACTGAGGCACATGTATTTCAATAGAATTGACCACGTGTACAATTTACCTTATACTCATCGAGCTGCAGGCAGTTCCTAGTGATACAGAACTGCTGCGTAATGGTACTCCAATTCAGCGTGTAAATCCTTGTATTTGCAGTGCTTATTTTCCTATCGGGGCATCAGACCTATTAGAATAGGTTCCATAAGCAAGAACAATAAAGCAGCTTCCCCTTTAAATCCTGCCTGACAATAACCAATGCACCAATGATTAAAAGTCATTACTATTTTGTTAATATCCATTACCCATACAGTGTTGACTTTACTCTTATTATTGAACCTTCTCCATTATATGAGATCCTAAGAAGGCATTATTATGCATGTTTACTTTTTGTAATTTTCACCCAAAATGCTCAAAATGTAGTAGCTGCACCAGCCAGACTTCTTTTGTGGACTGAAATTTCAATGCCCCCATTGACTTTGGCTATTAAATGTTAATAAATGCACAGAGCTCATATAAAGAGATGACTTGAGCAGCAGGAAGGTTGAAAAACATCTGGTATAATGAGACGTGTGAGTACATCAAATTCAAGCCTCAAAACATTGCATTTGATGGTGAAATAACATTATTAAATGCAATAAGCTTCAATGTGTACCATAAATCACGGATTTACATTAGCGGCAGCCTTTCCGAGTTGAATTCAAATTGAATAAAGAGCTGGACAAGGGATTTAACTGCTATGGTTGCAGGCTCCTTTGGTGAAATAGAAGTGTAAATTTTTAACAGTTATTGAATGATATAGGAAACTTCTATAGGTAAGGATAACGGGGGGGGGGGGGTGTTTGACGACCAGGTGGAAACTAT